GAGAGTAAAATGAGGGACTTCAAGCCATCTCCCATGAATCATGGAAAGGGAAGTGTTGCAGGACAACTAACACCAGTGGAATACAACAGACTGACAGTGTCTGAGACAGTGTCGATAGATGAACCCACCGGTGGATACATGGAGATGTTGGAATACCGAAACTCGGCTAGAGGGCATGTAATGGCCCTGGAAGAGGAAAAAGCCATGGAGGGTTATCTGGAAACAATGTTGCAAGGCACCACCCTCAAGCAGAAGGCGTACGGAACTTTGGCGTCGTCTGACATACAGGCGGAGACGATCGAGCAGTTGGTGAGCCTTCCATGGAAAGCAGTAGTATTGAGGTATTTCGAAGAGGAAATGAGGACTACGCCAAGAATACATGCTCTCGTGGCAGTACCTTACGTAAGGACGGAATTACAACTCAGGCTCGCCTGGTGCATGATGGGACTGACTCGCGAAGAATATGATTCAGAAGAAAGGAAGAGATCAAAAGAGGAAAAAGTTTTCCTTATGACGAATCTGAGGGATCTGATAGTCCAGGAGGGAGCAGCAGTAGCGTGTGCAAAGCGGAGAGACGCTCTCTGTTTCATTCGATTCCTGATAGAGCAGATTTCAGTACCTGCATTAAGCACTTGTGTTAAAATATTGAAGGAAGGCGATGAGCGAACGAAAGCCATGTTCTTGCTAGCAATGCTGGATATGCAGCAAAGTAAACCGATGAGGGTGAACATGAAAGAACCTGAAGAATTGGAACCCATGAAAAAGATAGACGAGATCAGGAGATTCTCAAACAAGGAGTTGAGGCTCACTAAAGAGTCTATGGGAGCATTGTCGAAATCCAGTGAATACTGTGGACCGATCAAGAAGAAGTCATATAGCTATGTATCCGGGATTATAGGGATGGCATACAATCCTTTCCTGAGTGAAGACATACGTGATTGCTTCTTTGATTATGAGCAGGCGGTGTTACTAAGATTCTGGACGTCCAGAATTGTGACGACTAAGAGCGTTAACAATCCACAGGCCAAATTGGGATTGGTCTTGGAAGAAGAGGTGACTGCACCTTCAGTACCAAAATCCGACAAGAGAGTGGAATTTGGGTTGGGATTCTCAGATGAATTACTGAGAACGAGCTTGATGGCAGTGTGGGAATTGATGAAGCCATCGTGGTGTCCTAGTCCCAACGCTGACTCAATATTACGGGCGACACAGGACATACAGAGGGAACTGAATGTGGACTGTAACCTGCGTGACCTCAACATCATATATAATGTGATGATAACAGCCTCTAAGAGCAACGGAGAAGATAGAGTGGAGTTGCCTGGCTGGGGACCAGAAGACTGGGTCAAACCTGGTAGCTGTCTGGCGGAAGTCTGTGGACTAGAGGGTCACGTTTGTGGAAGTCTAGACTGTGTGAAAACCCTGGAGAAACAACACAAGCAGTTGACGGTATTGTTTGGAAATGTAGTGATGAAAGCAAGAACGGAAACGGAACTGATAGCAGATTGCCATGGAGGAACCGATGTGAATCTAGTGACAGCACTAGGATTCTACAGCATGTTTGGTTCTTTAGAGTCACTATTGAATCTAGAACAGAAACATGAGATGGTCACAGCCATCAGCGTAGAAGTATTCCCAGGAGTTCTGCAGACTGAGCAGAAGTATATAGGAAAATGGAGGGAAGCAATCGAAACGGAGATGAACATCAGACACAGCGAAACTTATTGTAGACCATCAGGAGCACGATATTTGGTGGGTTCAATGTTGGCTCCAATGTGCAAGAGCAAGTATCCTGTACATTTCGTAGCTGTGGATGTGAAGAGTACAAGAACGATTGTGGATCAAGCCTTTTCAGTGCCGAAGTGCGTGAGGTTGGCAAGAATGTCTGAAAAGTCTTACGAGTTACTGTGTAAGATTTTCTCAGCAGTTCCAGAAAGAACCAAAGAGGAGTTGGAGTCAATACTAGGAAGGAAGTTCATGGGATATGTGAGCGGGAACTTCAGTGACTTTGAAAAACAGAAACAGAGAGGATCAACTGTCACAGATTACAATGCAGTAGATGAGAATGATGAGATCCACCGAGTGATGATGGAAGTGGAGCCATTGCTGGAAGCTTCGGGAAAACGGAATTGGAGGAGCATCATGTTGACACATGACGAGTTTCCTTGCCACTGCTTGCTGCAGACCTGGTGGTATCCCAAGCGTAGTAATCTGGTGTTGATCTGGGACTCTGGAGAGCTGCTCTCCATGGGTTTACCAGATTCATCACAGCCCATAACAATAGTGATAGTGGGAGTTATGATGGCGATACGATGGCTGGAAGCTCATGTGAGAGAAAATAATAGACAGGAGGCACCGACGAGAGAACAATTGCAGAAATTAGATTGTCTAAAAGATTTAGATCTTTTTGAGACAATGTGCAAAGTTCTAAACATTCCGATGGAAGTGAAGAAGATATGGGCAAGAAAACGATTGATGCCATGGTTCAGAGCTAACATGACTGCATGGTTGTACGAGTATGCGAAAAAGCATATGTCGAAACATGGCAGAGTGTACAGTGAATATCAGCTGGACATTGGGGCAGGAGCTTTCAAGCGAGCTTTCGTGACCCATCGGAATGCAGTGACCACCGCTGTGAAAAGAATTTCCAGGACGAGCGAGCGTAGTGGAAGTGAGAGGGCAGAGATGCTGAAAGAAGATTTGGAAAGAAACGTGGCGTTGTGTCTCCACAAGAGCTTCTGTAGAAACAGAGAATCAAACGTGGATCCCCTACCTTGCTGTAAACAGAGGGTGGAAGAGCAGAAGTGTTGGAGGACGGCTTCCAACAGCGTCAGGATAGTCAATGACGTGCTACAAGACACGGAGACCGAGAGTGCAGAGTCAGCGTCACAGGAGGAGGAAATGGAGCATTGATGAATGGTCGAGAAAACAAGAGGCAACAAGAAAGAAAATTAGAAGAATTTAGAAGTTTTAGAACTTCTAAACGACGAAAAAAGAAGAGAACAAAGGGATGATGAAGAAAAGTTAAAACTCAGAATTGTTTTATGTGTGTGAAAAACTCAAGTGAGAAACCAAGCAACCAAGTTGTAATTGAAAACTGAAACATTTAAGTTGAGTTTGGAAATTGTTGCATTTATAAATTTGCATTTTGGTTTTAGTTGAAGTGGCTTTAGAGACAGTCACTTATTATTTATTTAGAGAGGCTTGAGGGAAGAGTATATTTAAATATTCCAGCCTGCATGATTGTTTTTAATCACTTAGGAAGACTGATAACTTTGTGGTGACATGAAAAACTTGAGTAACTTCTTGAGGAGGGAGGTTGTTGCATTGTTCTTTCTAACCACAAAGTTTCTTAGTTTTAATATTCAGGACAATAAACAAGCAAGATTTCCGAAGGGAAGGAGCATAGTAGGATAATTTTAGCTTGTTGGTTGGCAGGACTGTCCTGCAAGCCAACACCTTTTAAATCTAGGAGAAAAAGTTTCAATCGGGATATTGACACTGGAAGTCAGAAAATATGTTTTATCTTGAGTCATATCCTCAATGTGCAGATTAATGAAAGAATTTGAAGGCTATAGTGATGTAGTATGATGCCATTTGTATTCTGCAGTGAGTCGATGTGACGTAGGTAAAAGTAATTTCGTGCATTTTGTAAATTCTGTTCGATGACACTGTAACCACTTAGAACATTGCGCGATTCAATGAGGACATTGACCGGACTGTCCGGGGAGTATGTGACATTCGACCAGAATGGCCAAAATGCAGTCTCTGCAGAATTCGGTATTTTAGCAGCAAGCCTTCCGAATTGGCGATTTAGAACGGATAAGGACGTTATTTGAACGATTAGCCAAACGGTGAAGGCTGGAAGATTCTGGAATTCTAATTTTTAAAAATTCGAATTATGACGTCATATTTCTGAGAAACGTCAGAGACGGCCATTTTAGCTAAAATAGCAAAAAGAAACAGAACAACTTTATCTGCGATTACGAACAGTACGAAATCGAGACTAAAAGAACAACAACGAACTATCGAACAGCAGAGGACGTTCCGAGTTGCAACTATTGTGCTGTTACAATAGTTGCAAGGCCGTTGCGAGCAACGGTGAAGGGTAAAACCCAGCCTTCCGAGTTATTGTGAACTGGATATTAAGAAGCTTGATTCACCGGATTCAAGAATCCGGAAGGGTCTCGGGACGTGGACTTTTATGAACTTATATTGAATTTTAGCATCCGTCATGTCCTGACTTGAATTCAATTAAGATCTTAATTCGTTTTGACAAGAATGAGGAGCTAGAAGTAGGGGGGAAAGGGTTGATCCATCTTCGATGGAGATGATGATTTTTATCTACTGAACAAAAACAATAGTAATATGATAAGTAGTAGCCCTGTTTTTAGGAGTGACCTCGTGGTCTGGGGATACTGAGACCCAGCCATGAGCTCACTATTTTTGCATGTAATTCAGTTAATTTGAGCGTTCTGGTCGAAGCCGGAGAGCAGTAACGTTTTTGTCGACCCGATGTTAGAAAGGACCACCGAAAAGTACTGGCTTGGTAGAGACGGTGAAAAACATGCGAAGCTTTGTTTAGACGCTAGCCAGTCGTCTTAAGACTTAGTTTTGTTATCCGTCGATATGTATCTTCCGGGCGAATGTTACATTAATTTAAAAATGTTTAATTAATTTTAGAGGTTAAAAGTATTTTAATCTTAATAGTAATTTCGAGGTCAACTGTGATTGGCTAATTTTTTATCATGATGGTTTAGAACCAAATTGTATGTGATTTATTGTAAATAACATTTGTAAATTGATGTTTTATCGTCATTTAGAGTAGTTTATTGTAAAAATCCTGACGATGCACATAGTTGCGAAAACGTTTGAAATTTACTTTTTAGCAAAAATTTCTTCGAAGAAAAGTAAATTTGTGTGACTTACATTTGCCTAATAATATTAATTATCATTTCACAATTAAAATCCTCGTTTTTCAATGAATAAAATGTTTTTTATTCAGATGATGGTTTGTTGAATGATGGCATCAGATGTAGATCAAAACGAATCAAGACAGGGAAATGTTGATTCGCAAAGCGAACACGAGAAACTTAATGACGTTGCTGCCCCAATTGCCAGTCTGCCAGTTTCTTCACAATCTGGTCGAAGTATATCGTTCCTTCTTCCTGCGACTCATTTAAATCAAGGAGAAATTCCTTCTGCAGCTCATCCTTCTTTTCAAAGGATGTCACAAATGGTTATTTTGAACGACGTTGAGTCATATACAAAGCTCGGTAATACTGAGCTTGAAAAGGGGCACGTAGAAAGTGCGCTCAATGCGTTCTCGACCGCTTTCCAACGATCGGCCATGCTTGATGACAAAAGAATTCTCAAAATTTGCTGCCTCAATCTTGGTGCTCTCTACATTTCACTTCAGAAACCACAAAAAGGATTGAGTTATTTGCTGCAGGCCAGTACAATGGGCGCCTCCTCAGATCTGGAATTCGATCTTAATTTCAATTTTGGATTGGCATACGAAGCTTTAGGTCATGCACATGCAGCCATTCATCACTTTAAGATAGCAGCAAAGTTTCTTGAACAGCAAGGCTTAAAGGAAACCGAACAGCACGCTGAGATATGCTTGAAGTTGTCAAACATATTCAAAATATTATCTTCCACAGATACGGCTATCAAGTATTGCAAAAAAAGTGTTGTGGCTTATGAAAAACTGCAAAATCTAGAAAAACTTTTATTGAGTCACTTTTCACTTGCTGATTATTTAATTGAAAAACAAGACTTAAATGAAGCTCTCATGTCCTTAGATTCATGCTACCAGATATTAACAAACCAGACTCCAAAATCGATCACCCCTAGAGGTTAGAAAAGTCTACATAGACGTTTGTTTTTTTAAGGGCAATATTTATCATCATCTTTGTTATAGCCTTGTTGACGATGGTTTTGAAACTGGCAGAAAAATATATGAAAGCTAACGATGTCATCAACGCTAAACAAGTCGCTGAGCTTGGGTTGAAATTGGTGCTCTCTTCCTTAAGGAATCCTTCTCTTAGCATAGCTGCATACAAACAGTTGGCGGAGTTTCATGGCGATTCATACCTTACGCTCGCGCAATTAAATCATAAATCGCAAACAGAACAAGCGCTTCTTGATTACGATCTTGCAGCAGAAATTTTTGGTAATACTTTCGCTTTTTGCACCCAAATAAGGCATGAGTTCAGGTTTTTTAATCGATTGAAATGGTTTACAGAGCAAATTGGTTTGTCCAAAAGAGCCGCCAGTTGCTACACGAAAATGGGCGAAGTGTATTTGGAATTAAATCAAGTTCAGACTAGCTTAGCCTTCCTTGGAAAGTCTCTCGCTATTGTGCAAGGATCGGGTAAGCAATCAATTACTCATCAAAAAATATAATTTCAGCAGAGAAAGCCGGTTGCCGCGCAAGTAACAAAGAATGTTTTAAAATTTTTTTGTTGGTTAGTAGACTAGCGTCAGCTTAGTGTATTGCTACGAACCTTCTTTTTTTTCTAGCCTTACTCGCAAATAAAAGTGTTCACTTATTTGGAAATTGCATAGCATCTGTTCTCTGCTTTTTTGTGACTTGTGTTTGGCTATTGCCCATTCAGCTTCCGTGGCTGAGTTCTTAGGGTGTGAGACTCTTAATCTCTAGGTCCTCTGTTCTACTTTTTTATTGCTGCTTTTTTGTCATGTTCTGGCTAAAGTTTGCCTGCGAAGCTTCGCCTCTTTATTTTCGGATCACGAAAAAAAACCACCCTAGTGATATTTTTCCCCACTTTGTGACGATTGCTGTGATGGTGTTACGCTGGTGTATAAACTCTGTCTAGACATAATCAATCGCAATGCAGATTTCTCTGAATGGAAAAACTGTTGGTAAATAAGAAGAAAATATTGAAAAAAACCTGAACTAGTTGACTGAAATGTCTTTTTTTTGTATTACAGTTACGAGCGAATCTATATAACAGCTGTACTTATTGGCAGGTACATGATTCTATCATAATCTATCTACTGATGTGCTCAAAAACGTTGGAGCACACAAAAATATCGATTTGATTATCAATATCATAATTTTTGTTTTGTTGGGTTAATAAATCAAGAGGTTTGACTGATGACGTTGAGTTTAGTGTCTGAATGTGAGCAGCAAACGTTGGAGTTATTACACCGGGCATATCTAATGAAAGGTGACAATGATGGCAAAGCAGCGTCTGCGCTCACTTCCTGTCTAGTGGTAGCCGTAAAGAGAAGCTCCCAGCATAGACACCAGAATACACAGATCAGTGATCCTGCTGATGGGGCTAACCTGAATGAATTAGTTGAGCAGTTGAAGAGAGAAGTTGTGCGTATGGGGGCTATAAGTGAAGGAGGGAGTGTGAATCAGATGGTAAAGGAATGGACAGAGAAAGAAGGCGAAGACGAAGGGACGGCGTCAACATCACTAATTGATGATACTACAACTACGCCACTTTCTCCAGTTCTAACCCATTCTTCTGTAAGTAACATGAAAATTCAAATGAGTAATTACGAGATTCATTTGATGTTGGAACCAAAATAACTTTTCGATGTTGCAGAATGTGGACGAAAAAAGCAAAGAGCAGAAAGGGAGTAACCATAGAATGCGAGGACAACAAACCAGGTAATTGTTTGTTACTTTTTTAATACATGCTAGTGTAAATCACGAAGATCAACAAAAAACGTGACTAGTCAAAAATACATATGTTTACCAGCGGATCTACGGACCAGAAACAAAGAAGGTCAAATGTTCGACAACAGACTAGTAAGGGCAATGAGGAAAAGAAAAGTTTGGCAAACATCGCCAGCGAAGATAACAGCAGTTCCGATCCTCTTGAGTGAGTTCGGCTTTGCTTGAAAATTGATATTTTTTAAACATTAAGTCGCACATGTTTGTTCATTTTGTGGGACACGGGCAATACATTCTTTATTGGAATCTTACATTTACTTCCCACCAGTGAACAGATGCAGAAAAACTTTTCCGCAACCTGCTATAGCTCACCGAATGAAATGAACTCTTGATTTAGCGAAATTTGTGATGTCTAGGCTTTTAAGGTTCTGGGTTTTGTTTATCCCGACGTTTCTGGTTGATAAAGTGACGTTTATTCACTTGCGAGAGCGAGTGACTTGTAATGAGGTACTAGACTTTTTTTAACCCAAAAACAAATTATCTTTCAAGTCTCTAGGAAACTTTATGAATTTTTTAAAATTTTACTCAATCGAATTTGAGATGAATATTTCAATAGAAAGAGTTGGGTGCGATAATTGTTCCTGCAGAAGCAACGACGCCTCAATTTTTTTATCAGAGAAACAATAAAGGTTTTAGGCGAAGTGCAATTTTTGAAATTACATTTTCCGTGCCGCATCAGTATAGCAAATTCATTCAAAATCAAAAACTTACCGCCAGCTTTAGCTGGGTCTCTAATTGTTTTTAATCGCGGCATACGAAAATTTAGGTTCACCTATTTTTTTCAACTTATGTTTTTTCATGTTTTATCGCAAGTGGTGCGAAGCTCCGCTTCGTCTCTGTATCTTATTATTTAAGTGGTGGACGCAGTGTTTAACTGAACGGGTCGTTTTATTTTTGCCGAGCGCAATGTACAACTCTCTTGGCTCAACGGTTAAGAGAATGCCAAGAATGTTTCAATGTTTTCATCGTTTCAATAGCTTGCTTTGAACAACTTGCTTGAGAACTTCAAACTATGAAAAGAATTTAGAAATAGTGTTCATTGCTTTAATGGCTTGCTTAGAAAAACTTCTATTTTTCGCGATCCAGTTTGCTCTATGGAGCAACTTAAATTGATTCAAAGTTTCATCATTTGGATAGCTTACCTGGAGAAGGTTTTCGCGGACCGACTTGCTCTATGCAATAACTTATATCTTCTGAAGCATCATTGATTCAATATCTTGCTGCGAACAAAATGGCTTTTAGTTAACCGGTTCTCTATGGAATATTTTAACATATATTTTAAATGTTCTCGCTTGATTAGCTTTCTTAGAAAACCTTCATTTATATCGAAAGGATTATCTCCCACAATTTGCATCTTCTCCTTAATTGCCTACTGAGAAAAATTTGCAAATCGACTCGTTCTTTGAAGCAAATTTGCATATTGCGAAGTTTCTTCGCCTCAATAGCTCGCTTGAACTTTAATTTTGCGAAGAAATGCAAGCTATGAAAACTAATTTTGATGTTTTTTCAAGTTTCATTGCTTCAATAGCGTGTTTGAGTAAATTTAGCTTTGTCGCATTGCAATAAGCTTTGAGGACAAATAGAGAATAACTCAATTTGTCAATGCTCCAATAGCTTGCTTAGAAAAGTTTCTACTTTTCGCGAGCCGATTTTTTCCATGAAATAACTGAAATGTTCCAAACGTTTATCGCTCAAACTCCTTGCTTATATAGGCTTTAAACTTTACGCCAACCGTTTCTCTATAAATTAACTTAAAATTTTTCGGAGCTTTATCGATTTGATACCTTGCATCTTATTAATAGCAGCATCGACTTCTATCAATTTGAAAAAGACATTCGTAGACAATTCGGTGGTAATGTTGCTGGCATAAAGAATTTAAGCCGACAAAGTACAACTCATCACTAGTTTTGAAATGTCGCAAAAGTTGACTCTACAGGCTAAAATGACATTAGTAAATTAAGTCACTTTCCCAATGAAATAAAACAAACAGAACCTATTGATTCCGTTTTTGTTTATTGAGTTAGCTTGATAATAAATTTTTGCATTTTATCGACTAGTTTTCACAACAATGACTTGAATGATTTCACTAAATTTTACTAACTAAGAACGAATGATTAAATTGGTCCGGTCAATCGCAAATAAATAATTGAATATTTGACCGTTAGTTGTTATTTGGAATGAGACTCGGGAGGACAGACAACGGGGCCATATGCCTCACAAAACGCCTAACCTAGCTATGTGTGTGTGTTTTTTTACACGAAGAGTAAGATCGTGTATATGTTTTGTGAGTTGTTAAAAACATCAAGTTATTATCGTGCGCCCGTGATCAAAGTTTTACTTGCTAAGATAAACTAAGCGTACTCCAGCAAAATGCATGTTCACGGTCTGTTTTTTCAAGTAATTTTTTCCGAAATTTTTGGAATGTCAACTTTTGGAATGTCACTTTTTGGTATTAGAATCGTTACCTCAGATCATACACCCGTCAGCATGCAACCAACAGTTCATTTTTTAAAGTTATTTTTTAAAAATCGAACCGATTAGCTCGTCATTTTGCGTCAAAAAAAACATGTTTAAATGTATGATGAAAAGCTGTTGTTTCTGTTTTTGAGTATCTTTCAATATCCTCTGGGATCAATTTTTGATCAGATAAAAGGCTAGAAAACTTGGTTGCGCGATATAGATTTGAGAACCGATTAATTTTTTTGTACATATGGGTTCTGACAATAATTTTGTTTTCGACAGTCTCGTGGCCCTTGTCTTTTATTTACACAAGCTAAATTGTCCCGTTAAATTATGCTTCGTGGTGGTCACCAAGCGTATCATGCAGCGATTCTTCTCATTTGACAGAAATGGTCGACCTGAGAACCCACCTCTTGATGAGTAGTTATAATTACACAAGCAAAACTTGTGTGTTAGTATGAACTCTCTTTTTTATTATTTAAGTCGCAAATATTTGTGTTCATTTTGCGTAAACAGCTATTAAATGCAGCCAATGCTAAGGATAGTCACATACACTATTATATTACAAATAACACTTAAGCTTCAAGGTGTCATGGATCTGTAGCGTAGAGGTTGGTAAGGAGACCCGCAACAGAGCAAAGAAGGTTTGATTCTGCGCAGGGTCGGATGTTTTTATTGATTTTTTTGTATACTAGTTAAATTGCGTCCGCTCTTTTAATTGAGGCATGTTAGTTGGTAAATTATTTTTTTATTGCCTGCTAATGTGTCAGAAAAGGCTTGCGTCACTTAGCAATTATTAGATTCATAATTGGCGTGCATCACTTAATTACTTATCGGTCATATTTTTGCTTGGTGTATGCAAAGTGCAACTTCGCCTCTGTGTCGAACGAATGTGAATAGTTTAAAAAAGATTGAGAGAGAGATGCTGTAACTGCGCAAAGCACGATTTTAAGTAGCTCATAAAGAACGAATCTTAAGCACCTATTTTCTTTTGCAGAAGAAACAAAAATTCAAGCGAACTGTAACTACAGCAGCTTGTAGCATTCTTGGCGCAATATATCTAAGTTTTGATACAATCCTGAATTGTTTGCCGAGTCTCAGTTTCAGCGAATATTTATGCCTTCGAAAAGATAATTTTGAGTAAACTTAGATGTCAATGGAATTTTTTGAGTTGGAACACTCAAAAGTTTGTATGTATTGTCTTATTGGTGCTTACAGTTAGCCCATTTTCATGCAACCAATGGTCAATTTCATGTAACTTTTCTCTTATATCTGCCAACTGGCAACCTAAAGCATTTATGTTGGGGTCATTTGTAAATAATTTTTTTTCGGCTGTTTATGTCATGGTTAAGTCATTAATATTTATAAGGAACATCAAGGGAACTAGAATTGATCCTTGTGGGACGCCACATTTGATTGTTTTTTTTTCGGATCCGAAGAGACACCAGTAACTTCAACACGTTGACGGTCGTTGATCTTATTTTATCAGTTAGTTCAACAAATGGTTCTATTATACTTTGTTTTGATCTAAATCCAATCTTTTTTCTATACATCAAAGGGAAATTTGATTATACATTGCTCTTTTGTGTACCTTGCTCCATACAATAAGTAAAGAGATTGGCCTGTATTTGTTTTCATCCAATAGAAAATTTTGTTTATGAATGGGAATTGTTTTCGCTTGACGAAAAGTGGAAAGAATAATACTTTCAAATGAACGATTCATTAGAAACGATAGAAATAAGGCAGCAACGTTTTTGGATGCTTTCACAATTTGATTGCGAAAATTGTTGATTTCAATTTGTTTTTCTATAAAAAACATGGACCAATTTAATTCAGGTACAGAAGGCGGATATAATTTGAAATATCTGTTTTCAGGTTTTAACATTGTTGATGAAAAAATTACTGAATCCCTTTGCAAGAGTATATCCTTTTGTTTTATCCATGAGTTTTCGGCATGATTCAAGATAGGGCACTTTTGAACGAGATACAAATGCAATTTAGTAATTTATCTTGAGACACCAAAGCAATTTTCAATATATTTCAGTACAGTTTTTTTTATAATCTTTTTGACCGCTTGCACACGCTTGCGTCTACTAAGCGTTAATAAACTGAATATAGATTTTTTTAAATTAACAACTAGTTAAACAAAATCAATGAATCATTTCTGCAGCATTCAATTTTGCAGCAGCCAAACATGCTCAATTTCTTGAAATTTTAATTTTAAATTCTGGCTACGAAAGGTATCCGTGGACGGCTAAGGGACTACGCTCGAATCCGATCAGCACCTGTTTTTAATGAACCTAAAGTATTTAATATGAAAAACCGATCGGCGTATGGGTTGTCTGCTTATGGTTTGTTGGCTTTTTCTTGTGTACGGTGTTTTTGTATCTGGAAGTGATTTGTGATTTTTAATGTAGTTTGTTATTTTTACACTTGCGAATGTCTTGTCATCGGGAACCACACTTTTTTCCCTAAACAAAATTCTTTATACATTTGAATTGAAATTGATGCTGCTTTATTAGCGAACCGTTGCAACTACAAGACCTCATCGCACGTGGTCTGGAGGTTATACAGTTTCGTTTGAAACCGAAAGGTCAGGGGTTTTTTCGGGAATTCTTGATTAGTCGGGTTTTAGTTTGTCGGCTTATGTTTTGTCAGGTTAGTTGCCAGCCCTTTTTTTTGCGCTGTAGCCATTTTTCAATATAATCTTAAGCGTCATTAATTAACTCCTGTAGTTTTAATCGGCCTAAATGATATCGGCTCATGTTTTGTCGGTTTTAAATGATTTCGGCTCTTAATTTGTCCGTTTAGTGAACTTATTTTGCATCGTTATAAGAATCAAAAATGATTGTTCATGTTTTTAATAAATCAGCTCGGCTCGTAGTATAAAGGTTAAAAGTTCAAACTTTTTAGTCGCTTCAAAACTTTAGCCATGGATCTATGAGACACGTGTTTTGGCTTAGTGGACGCTCGAAAATTACCAAATGTGCTTATTACTAGCGGTTGTGTTTGTGTTTCTCTGAGATTGAATTTTTCGTATTATCAAAATAATTGTTAATTTTTCATATAAATTTCCTTTGCCATTTTTGTCTTAGGATCCATTGGCGTCTAAGCATGTGTTTTGGCTGATTGGATCGGAAAATACTGAAAGCGTGTTTTTTGCTAGTGGTTGTGCTTGTCGTCTGTTTTTTTTCTTAGATAGAATTTTTCGTATTACCAAAATAATGTCAATTTTTATGACCATTTACTTTATCATTTTTGTTTTTGGATGGATTGGCGTTTAAACACGTGTTGTTGGCTGAGTAGACGCGCGGAAGTTAGTAAAAGCGTTCTTTTGGCTTGTAGTTGTGTTTTTGTCTGTTTTTCTAAGATCGAGTTTCTGGTTTTTATAGTTTTTTCTCTTAGTTATTTCCATCTCACTGACCATCTTGTATTGTGGAATGGTACGCTTTTGTTGTATCGTTTCACCTGTCGCTTTTTTCTCAATTGGCTGAAAATGTTCAATATTTTCGATGTTTCAAGTTTACTAGTTTTTTTTTTTCGAGTATCTGTGGGCTTCATTTCTCTTTGTTCTGAGATTCTTTAATGCATTATTGAACCATCGTGGATATGGTTTCCTGCTAGGTCTTATTTTCTTGATTGGTTTAGATCTCCTAATCACCTTTTTAAAGATAGGTTGAAAACTGTCAAAGGCTTGCTCGGGATCTTTCATTTGAAGAGTATCGTTTTCATTTGCATCGAAAGATTGTTGCAATTCTTTGAAAATTACTGAGCTTTTATTTGTGTTTTCGAAAGTAGAATCCCTTAAATTATATATAAAATCTGAATGTAATTTTATTTACTATTTGATTAGGATCTGATAATGATCAGCAGTGTTTTCATGCTACATGACTTTCGTTACAGCATTCGGTCAGTTATGATGTATAAAGTGATCAACATTCGATGATGATGGTGATACTTGAGTCGGCTCAATACCAAAAACCTCAAGTCCATTGGAAACGATTCTATTTAAGTAGCTAGTAGAAAGCTGAGCTTCCTGTTGCATATTGTTATCAAAATCCCCTCGTATAGGACCTCCTCCGATGTTGAATTATTTAATGCTAAGATTTCGTCAAGCTGATAAGGAACTACAATTTTTTAGTTCTTGGTGGGTTATATAACTTTTTTTCGATGTCAGCAAAATTTAATTGTTCAAACAGAGTTTCAAGTTGCCTGAGTAATTTAACGTTTTCTTTAGCTCATATCATGACCCTCCCCTTACACTAGTTCGATTTCTTTTTAAATAATCATTAGATCCATTAATAAGATGACCATTGAAGCTATCATTATAATTTAGTTTCTTTTGAGCAAATTATATCTGGTGGTGACTCATTGCTTAGTAGAAATGCTTTCAATTTCTCCAAATGCGTCTTGTAACATGGTGTTCGAATGCGGAACTGAAAAATCTTTGAAAGCATCTGATAAGTTGGATGATATAGAGCTATCGATAGGTGCCATTTGACTTTTCAGCGCGAAAAGTACCTTGTGACGTTATGCCTGGGGTTGGCAATATTGCAATTAATTGCTGGTTGAATTGGTTTCAGTGCTGCAATGATTTAAGGAGCAATTGAATTTACAATTTCATTTACAATAGATTGAGGTTCTTCCTTTTCGTCATTGGAGAAATATTTGTCTTCCGTTTTGTTCACCGAATGTGGAAGTTGGAAACTGCCTCTTGATTCTTCTCAAGTTGAGATTTTTGGCGTTTCCTTGTCATCATCTGCTCAGTTTAATTAGCAAAAATCTTTTGGTTTTCTTGTTTTAGCAGATGTGCCAGTTACTGCATATAATTCAGATTTAGTTTTAATTTTTTCGGGGTTTGCTGCGGATTGTCAGGGTATTTGGCATAAACATTTTGTTTGTGAGTATTCTATGGGCTATGGTTGGCTATCGCTTCTGATCTGATGCTCTGTGCGATGGGATAAGCGGTCTTCGATGAACACTGGTTGTACTTTATTGCTCCTGAATTTTTTGAGGCATGATCTTAAACTCCAAACAACGTGACGACCTGCGTGTTATATGAACTTAACAATCGCTTGTGCGTTGTTCCAGGTTTCAAAGGATGACAGGCAGCAATATGTTGTCCGGGGATGTTAACCCACATGTAGTTACTCATTATTTGCAGGATATCGCCCATTGTGTCGAATACATCTTAGATTTCGATAGGATTTTGTATAATTCGGCACAAAGTCTGATTGATCCGCCCTCAAGTTTTTGATCTCCTTGCCAACGATATTGAATAAAAAGAGAAAGTCCTTGTTTTTCTGAAATAATTTGTTTAATTCTTCTCATTAGACAACGGCCAGTTGTTCTAGAAAAGGATCATCATCACAGATGGGTTGATTATCATTCATTATCTCAAACTATTTAATGAGTTTATCACAACTGAAAATTGATTTTGTTTATTTATTTGGTTTTAAAATTACTAGAGTCGGCTTTGGTTAAGATTGGATCAGGTTTTTTCGGCTTTAAATGGTTCCGGCGTACGTTATCTTGGCTTAGTTGCATCATTTTGCATTTTTATGCGTGTGCTAAGGGGCAAACTTCGGTTCAACTTGATTGTCTGCCGAAGAATTGTCTTCCGAGTAAATGCTAATCTAACGAACGCAATCGTCTTCTTCGAGAAAACGTATGAAAAAGTTCCACTGTTTTCAAACATTTTACTGACAATAGTTTTTGTCTCCTTTTCTGTAGACTAGCGAATCGTGCTTTGTTTTTGGTGTGCTTCGCTTCAGTGTCACTCCAATTGAAATTAAAAGAGTAGGATACTTCAACATAGGATAATTCAATTGGTTGTTCTATTTCTTTTTTTTTGGCTCTTACCTTTCTTTGGCTATGTTTTGTATGTTTTAGCGACGTGAATAGGAGGCGAAGAGTGTCTGACAATGCAAGTTATATTGCGAAGGGACTGGCAGTAGAAATTCACGACCCTGCAGAAACCAGTGGGTCTGGGTTGAAATTGAGCAAAAAGAAAACGGACCACGATCGAACACTCACTGACGTTAGATCATTCAGACTTTTTTAAAAACAATACAGGTCTAGTTTTGTTCAGTGACACTTTTTTCTCTGATTGGTGGTTAGTTTCATTTTAAAAGTTTCGAACAAACTGTTATCAAAGTTCCAAGAGGTTTAATGTGATTTTTTTATTGACACTTTTCCAACTCTCTCTTGGCTGCTATGGCTGAAAGTGTGGTGAAGCGTTTGATTTGGGTTTTTTCGTACAATTTGAGATACCATAACGATTTTTTTTTGGGTTCGAAATTGTTTTCCCGAGTCCGGCTAAGTCACCCGGCATCAAAAACAGCCCATGCCACTGTACATGTTAAGTTGGAACTTTTTGGTTGAATTGTAAAAATAAGCTGCTTTTCAGTCAAGCGAGGAGGTTTCGTCGACTCCTACTCCCAAAAACGACACGCTGTGGGGAACTGAGCTGTACAGAAAGCTAGAGCAAAGACTGCAGAACATGCAAAGATCTTCAGACAACTCCTCTGATTCGTCAAGTGAGAGCGGATACAAAGGAAAGAGTACACAATACGGATCCAACGAAGTTACGAAAAGTCCAGCCAAGCTCCAAAATAGTTCAAAGTTGTCCCGGAGAAAAACTCGGACCCTCACTGACACAAAGTTCGCGAATGACTCCATAGTATACGAGCACACTGCTCAGCTGGATAGCAGGTGAGCTAGAATTGCACCCTGCATATTTTTTTCTCGCACTAATGATGCAGATTTAGAACAGAGTGTCTGAATGTTAGGCACTTTTTGAATAATGAAGGGAACACTGACATCCTACTAAGCTTTGGAAACGTATTGTATTATGCTATAGCACAGTGTATCATTAAAAAAAATTGGGATGGATTTTTTTATTCCCCAATCTTCTGCCATAAATTATTCTCTGAGCTGCAAAAATAATCAGACCAGGTTTTTTCGATACAGTGATTAAGAGTCGATGAACGTGGCGATTTTTTTCAGCAAAAGTTAAATATATTAAAGTTCAATTCATTTCTCTGTTAAAAGGAAGGCAAATTCCATCATCGAAGTGTAAAAGTCACAAAAAACGTAATCGACTTCTAATTGTAATCGACTTCGTGATCGACTTCTAACGTAAAGTTGAGATTTTTTTTCAAGAAACAAGTCAATTTTTTTTATTTCATTGCGTGCATTGGCTCTTTTCCAACGGTCTTTTGGCTATGTTTTGGCTTGAAAGGGTTTTGGTTCGGAAATTTTGTTTATTATGAGTGAATATTTTTAGGGGCAAAACTAGCAGCAGAGCTGGGAGTGCGGACCGAAATAATTTCAAAATACGGTCAATCGAGCCAGGTGGAACATCCTCATTCATGTCATTGAGTCGCAGTCTGAAAAGCACTAGACCAAAACTGCCTCTTCTGGCTACTGTGGGGGAACATGAGAACACTGTTGAGCCTGTTGTCAAATTGGGCAGAGATACAGTTGAAGTTGAAGATACCAGGAGGGGTCAAGGGAGTTCAAGGTTAGTGTGGAATCGAGTTCATTGAAGAAGATATTTTCCATCTGAGTATGAATTCCATTTGTGTGTTTCAGAATTACAAATTAAGATGGCGAATTTTAGCAAGCGTTTTGTTACGAGAAAAGTATTAGCAATTTATAAAAGAAGAGGAGTTAAAGTTTAAAAATGATGAGTTCAATTAGTATTCTATAAAATGTATTTGTTATTTGTGAAGGTGCAGACCATTTGGGGGAGACGAGAGTCTAGTGGAGCATAGCTCGACAGATATGAGCTTGATGCAGGGTACTAGTAGAATGATGGAGTCCACATTAGATGCTAACTCGAAATCAATCCGATCCAAACGTTCAATTCTGCCACAATTCAAGGGTGAGTGTTCGGGTTTTTACACGAGCAAAGCGAAGTGTGATAGTACGATGCAACTTTTTTTTCCAACCTAAGTCGCAAATACATTTGGTGGCACTTTTGAATTGGTGGGCTACATTTTAATCCCAAGTGCTCTGACATCTGATTAGTAAAAAGCTTACCCAGTTGATGGTTTGTAAATTCATCAATGGAACCGGAAAAAAGCTATTTGTTTCGTACAACAGTATAATAGATAAAATCTCATTTCAGAAATTTTTTAACTCAATTTTTGAAATCCATTATTCATACGCAATTTGGTTTAATGCGTTCTAATTTATTACATACAAAGTTAGTTTGGGTTACTTTGGTTTATTATATTCCAGGTTATTCCATGCAAATGTTTTGCGTTTTAAAGCTTCTGAATCTTTGCCGCTTTCTCGCTCGTGTTTGCGATGCTGCGGCTTCGCCTCTGTGTTCATTTATGTTTGATCCGACCACGAAGTCGGAGGTCTTCAAGTATTTTTAAGTGTAAAACAACAAAGTGATTTTCACTTATATAAAGTGTTCATGAGTTTTCTTTTTTTTCTAATTTGATTTTCGTTCACGCTCAAGTTTTATTTTGCGCGCGGTGTGAAATATGATTTCTTTTCATTTGCGAGAGCAAGTGACTTGTTATCTAATATTAAACTTTTTTCTCGTAACTAACGTTTTTTGCATGCGACAGGTATTGGGCTCGAACCCCGGCCGGACTTTGTTTTATTTTCCTTTATGTTTTATATGGAACCTCGAAACCTTTCAGCCCCTTCCCATTTGGTTTAAAGCTGAAGCACGCGCCTTAGGAACGAACGGTCGGCGGTTCGAGTCCCGGCCGGGCCTTATATTTTAAAGGCGTGGAATTAATTTCTTTTGGAAACTTCAATCGTCGAACTATCATTTGTGTGCTTATTTTTTGCGAGCTTATTTCCTAAGTTAAAAGTTGAGTAAACTCCACTATCGAATAGCATAAATGCAAAATTCACAAAAAAACCTGAACGTCTTCTTGCTACGAAAGTGGTTTTATTTTCAGATTTCTCAGCAGAATGAAAAACCTTTGGTTCCAAGTCAAAATGGGTTAATATTATCAAAAAAGGTCAATCATAACTTGTTCTTGAAATTCAAATTGCATTAGGGTGATCGGTTTTCTTGGAGATTCAAAAGATGAGATTTTTTAAGAAAACAAGGCAACTTTTTTTTTCTTGCGTTCATTGACTCCTTTCCAAATGTCTGCTGGCTATGGATATCATTTTTTCTATTTCGTACTCGCACAAAGAAAACCACACAGATTTCAAAAAAATTCATAAAAACTTCTTTATTTGCTTGCCGAGGAATGGCTTGAATTTTAATGTTTTCGCTATTGTTTTGAAATTTCGTTGAATGAAACCAAAAAATATTTCATCTACATTATATGCAGCTCACATTTCGATCCGTTCTGCATAAGCAGATTTTTTGTGCAATTTTGGTTTGAAAATTTTGCATCAACATCAAGCAACGAACTTGATTTTAGTGGTCTCAATTCTACAACCATGTGATTTCAGAGAAGAGACACTAACCACTTTGCCTTGGCTATTTAGGTTCTGTGAAGGTCCAGCGTACCCAAAGCAATTCGTCTCCCTCGTCTGATCCGAAAATAAATAAGCCTTCCAGAACTCCCAACCGGGCATCCGCTGCGTGCTCTCTCATGTGAGAATAGAAAGATGTTTCCTAATCAAAGTTGTTCAGTTCTTTTGCCAGTCACTGACTGGTGTGGTCTGCAGCTTAGTCGTACCCAGATTTCCATGTGAATTTACTTGTATATAAGATGTCAATGTTGTTTATTAGAAATCAATGCCAATGTGTAAATAATAATTTTGAAAAATCCGTTTGAATTGTAAATAAGTAGAATGATCTTATCGTGTTTGTTTCGAAAAATTCAGCGTTTTCTCTTTTCGAATTGTAATTTGATATAAATCTTCCTTTTCTGAAATTATGCACGTATCCTTTGCTTGAAAGATAAGTTTTGAGATAATTTCACGAATCATCCGTGGTGCATTTTCAGAAAAGTTATGAATATCGGTGATCATTAATGATACTATTCATGACTTAAACCGAAATATGGTGACGAACAAGGTGGGCAAGCAAGGGGCCGTGGGACAAGTTCCTAAGCGGCTGTTCCATTTGAATGTGCAATTGTTCACGGGCGAGAAGTTCCGAGTAGAGGGCTGCTATGGGCGAATGTTGGTTAGAGAGTTGAAGGAGAAACTAGAATTAAGCATGGGAATTCCAGCACATATCATCAGGTCAGTTACAAAATTAAAAGTTATGGCAAATGAAAAATCGATATTAAGGTCTCGTTTAGCCACCAGTCAGTTCTACTGATGATAGAGAGGCTTCAGTTAGTAAAAGCAGTAACAGTAAAGTGAACAAGTTTTGTTTTTACAGAATAGGGGTGCCGAAGACTAGCGAGTTCAGAAATTTTGAGTGATAAATTTGAACTCTTCCCTTTCAATTTGGTTTTATACCGACAACGATTGCACAATCACTTTAAATATTGATACAGAGCTTGGACCTTATGTCATTAACCTGTCTAGGCAATGCCATAAATCTGCTGCTCTATGCTTATTCAAACTTAGATATTTTTTTCCCATGTTTTATTTGTTTTCAGATATATATATAGTTTTCCTTTTCTTTGAAGATCTTCAATTTCGTATTTCATTTGATAAAACGGGCAGTGCTCTGTAACCCAAAAAGGTTCGTCCCCTAACTGTTTCTGGTGCTTCATGTTTAAGTTCTCGTTATATGCATATTTACCATTAACAATGAGAAATAAATTCTTTCTTTCCATTATCGGCCCTATATTTTGCCGGGTTTCTGAAATTAAACAGGGTTCTAAATTTTAATGAGCCATGTCTTGCTGAACGCGGACGTTTGTTAGCGTTGAAGTTGCTTGGATACAGATGACTGATTAATGAAGTCTTGAAACATCTCGTGTATTTGTGATTTAATCAGCTGGCTGATAAAGCTTTTATTGATGATGGTTAAGATTGTTCTACCTGGACGGAGCTGATCTGATTGACGACGAGATGCTTAAATACGTGGACATAATCCCAGGAGCTCTGTTGAAGGCAACAGTGTGGAACCAGTGGCTTAGTTTAGTAGAGGCTGCAGTAGAAGGGGATGTGTTCCGCACTCTGCGCCAGGGGGTGACTAAAGACTCCAAGTACAACGATGCCAACAGTGCAAACATGTTGTCTAGAGCCAGATTCAATTGGCTACAGGAGAGGGCAGGAGTTGCTCTCTTCATCGCCAGTCATAGGTGTCGTATGTTTATTTGATACTCCAACGTTGCCAACAACTGCCATAGCTCATGAATTGTTTCATTTAATCGTTTATGAATGGACATTTCTCATCACCTTCGAGCTCAACAGGAGGGTACTAAACATTTTGTAATAATAGCATGAGAGGATTATTTGCTGCTCTTGGCGTTTCAGAAAACCCCAAAATAAACAAGGATAGCCGGTTGCTGTGCAAGTAGCACAGAATCTTCCGACCATAAATAAAACTACAAAAAAGTTTTTTCAAATTGCGCCGTCTTTCGTTTTTGGTGTGATGAGAGAATCTAAACGAAAGCCTAGAAATTCGATAGCTGAAAAAATAAGTGACATTCTAGTACAGTTTTTCACATAAAATTAATATCAAATTTTTATTAATCAAAAAGTTTCGAAAATTTTATCAATTATTTTGCTGGTTTTTTTTGGTTCGTTTTCAAAGGCGCTAAAAGAATTCTCGATAAAAAGTTTCACTTGAGCAAAACTTAGTAAAGGCCTATTATTAGCCTACTCGCTCGCTGTATTTGCTTGAATTTAGACGAAAGTCGAAAAATTTCAACCAGTTTTTCTCGATACTAGGAAATTTTTTTAAAATCGTTCGAGTCACGACTGAAAGGGCTATATCGCTCGATCCATTCCGTTTATTATTTCTGGTACCTATTTTGCGTGGAAAACTAAAGCATATCCGAATTTTTTTTTCCTCTGAATGGTCGGAACAAAAACGTATGATGTCAAAGGGGCCTAAAATTTATGAGCAGCGTTTGAATAAATTGTAAATGAACAATGCTAGAAATGGCACAATGATATGGTTGTAGGGGACACGAACAGTTAGTTACGAGGCTTTTGATGAGTGGCTCCAACGTGTCTGCTCAAACCCCCGGCGGGAGGACTGCACTGCACGCCTGTGGGGCCCAGGGTAATGTGAAGAGTCTCCTCACTCTGTTGCAGTATGGGGCAGATACTTCCGTAAGCGACAACAGCGGCCAGACTGCACTCACTTTAGCTGCCTCTATGGGACAGAGACAATGCGAGAGGTGAATATTTGAAATCTTCACTTAAAGCTGTTTCTTTGTCACTGAACAATGCGACGAAATTTACTTAGATCGTTTTCATTAATTTTTTTTTGGGGGGGGGGGGGAATCTTGCTTACTTTTTCACACAAGTTTGATTTTTCTCGATTTGGTTTTTTTTACGTTTAATTCAAATTCATTTGCTAAAAGAAAGGCAAAATACGCATTCCAATAACGAAAGTGCATATAGCGCTAAAAACTCGATTTTTCTGTTTCAAAAAAGGATTTCAATTTTTAATATCTTGGTGATTTTTTTTCAGGAAAAGTCATAAAATTTGTTAACGCTCAAATTTGATTTTTCGCGGTTTACTTTTGATTTGTTTATCTGTTCACTTCATTTCCTTATTTAATAGGAAGGCAAACTCCACTACCGAACAGCCAAAAAGGAAAGGTAACGAAAAACGTGATCGACTTCTTGTTTCGAAAAAAAATTAATTTTCAGATTTCCCAGCGAAATAAAATTTCATCTATTGATCCAGTTTTCTCAAATTGGGTTAATTTTATCAAAAAGCATCAATCATAAATTGTTCGCGAAATTCAAAGAGCATTAAGGGCAAATATTTTCTCTTAAAAATTCGAATGTTGAATTTTTTTCAAAAAGCAAGTCAGTTTTTTTTCTGTTTCCTTGCGTTCATTACTCTTTTTCAACTGTCAGTTGGCTATATTTAGATGTCCCAGCGGAATAAAAAACTTATCCTTTTGATCCATTTTTCTCAAATTGGATTTGTTTCACGAAAAAGTATTTTGATAATAAAATAATCTTGAAGTTCAACAATTTGAATTGATAACTGTTGATTATAACTCGAAAGTTGAGGTTTTTTTAAGTCTCATCGATTTCATTGGAACTTTTCTAACTGTAATTTATAATTATAAGAGTTCATAAGGGTTCAAATATCATTTTTTTTGCTGCATTGACTTTTTCCAACTGTCTGTTTGCTATGTTTTTGAAATTCATTACATGAAAATTCGATTTTTTTTGTCTTTTCGTTGCCAGAGTGACTTGAAACAAAGGATCGAATAAAAAAAGTGATTGAAATTTGTCAATTTTTTTTTTGCTTATAACCGCTTCGGGAGCATTTTAAAACCGCTGTGGAGAAAATCTAAGTTCTCTGTAGGGACCCCAAAGCAGTTTTTACCAAATCAAAGCTTGCACCATTTCTAAAAAATATGTATTGACCTAATGAAGAATGGCTGCTCTAGGTATCTGTTCATGCATGAGTGGCAGCAGAGAGCGAAGAAGAGTAGAAGGTGGGTGGACAAGAGACCTCTGATGGCACACCAGATGTATGACAGCCACGTGCAAACATGGTACACTGGCACTCAGAGTAGACTGTACACTGCAGAAATACTCCCTCCCGAAGAGTTCTCTGGCACTCGACTCAGTGCACCCAAGAGGACGCCTGTTGCACCTAGGTGAAGTACAAGACACCCATAATTTATTATGTTTTTGAAACTGTAATCTTGCCACCCATCAATTCGTTGTTAATATCGAAAAATACGGTGATGTTATTCATCTGCAGTAATGTGGTTATTTGGTTGTTTTGTAAATGCTCTTGTTGCAGGTAGCATTTGATATTCAGAAAGAGTTTAATCTTTCTTCATATTTATAACGAGCAATTTCAGATCTTTCACAGCGCCTGAGAAGGCCATGAGACACTCGAGAAGCCGCACCATATCACAAGAGGGAGAGAGACGCAACCTATCCCGCGGAGGCGCCATGCAGAGTAGCAACCACCAGCTGAACCAAAATGATGCCAATGCTGTACAAACACAAAACGGGAGACCATCGGAACCTTACCTGCCTAGGAGCTGCAATAGAGCCTTTTCAAGACAAATGTCAGCCGCAGCTAAGATACGCACAAATCCGAGCTGGGTATCACATAAATCAGGAGACAACTGGATTTCGAGAAGACCCGAGAGCATTTTGCAGCAATTAGGAGTCGGCATGCAGTGACTCTCAGAAATCTTTCCTGTCTGAAAAATTTTCAGGAAGCGCCAACAGAGTTCAATCATAAGTCTGTAAATAAAAATCATGCTTTTAAAATCTGTAAATTGTAAATAACTGAATATTCTGTTAATGAAATTTGTGTATAGATTAGAACCAAGTGTGCCTTCTGTTCAGTTGTTGATCCATCTTTTGTCGTCATTGAAATTATTGTTTCCTATCGTAATATTTGCTCAAGTAGCCGAAATGCGAATAAGAGGAAATTTAACTTGCGTGTAAAATTGACGAGTGCTCGATTGTTTTCAGAGTCTGATGTCAATTGAATCATTTGAAGACGGTATATCAATAATCTTATAAATCGTGAAAACATTTGTGACACTGTTTTAATCCTTCGCGGACAACAGTAACGGAAGAGGCGTGTGCTCGTTGAAACAATGCCACACAAGGTCAAGTTCAAGCTGCTCCATGTGAGTGGACATGACGAGGGAGTGAATCCGCTAGAGCTGGAGGTACACAATCCAGTCATCCAGGGATGGATATCGGCCAGGTCAGTTACTCGCTCTCGCTAAGTGTTGAAAAGTCTCTAATAGGTCGTGCAATCTTTAATCACTGCATCATAGTTAGGTGAAGAAAGAAAAAATTAGCTGGCACCGATTTAGCCCTGTTGCAAAACTGTCCCAGCAACCCGGTGATTGGCGCGCGTCGAGAATAGCTAGTATCAGGAGCGGATCAAGGATTTTCTCGAGGGGGAGCGGTTTCTCCAAAAAGAGACGTTTTAGGCACTTTTTGGAAACTTTTGACCAAAAAAATGCGTTTTTTGGGCGCGCGCTCCCCCCTCAAAATTAGTATATTAGTGTATCTGCCGAAAATGGATATCTCAAAATAGTACAAAAGGGGACCCTTAGGGTCGGCAGGGGGTCAAATCACAGAAGAAGAAAGCGTCGCCCCCCCCCCCCCCCTTAATCCGCTGTGGTGGCTACTATGCAGAAAGTATCATTTTGTTTGTTGAGATTGAATTATCTGCGCCATACAATTTGAATTAACCGATTGGGACAAAATCTGCAATTTTTCGAATAAATAGGATGAAATCTTTAGGTATGATGAATTGAACCGCATTTGTCAGCTTTCTCAGTGGACAAAATCTGTTCGTCTGGGAAAAAACGAAGGCGTAAAACTCCATGAAACTGTGAATTTTTCTGAGGCAGACTGGCAGGATGTGCCTTAATTTTTGCATTTGTGTAGATTCTGCCTCTTCCCCCAAGAGCTTGTGTTCAAAATGGAGAAAAGAACAAGAGTGCGCAAACTACAGATACTTGCACACCAATACCTTATACGTAAGTAGTGTGGTATGAGTGTAGTTAATGATAGTGTTTTGGTGCCTTATTGAGATACATTTTAGATACATTTTTCCTCGTTTTTTTTCTGGTTTCCTCATAGAAGTGAGCTCTTTCTGTGGCTAAGAAAAGATGACATACGAATTTTGAATTGTGATCTGTGTCGTTAGCCTCAAAGGTGGAATTGTTCATCGGAGAGGGTCCCACTTTTGATACTAGTGTGACTAACAACGTGCGCTATTCTCGCCTGGGATACATTGCATTGAGTGACAATGAAAAGACGGGGTTCAAAGCCAGGGAGCTAAAAAGTGTGCATGTGGATGCGATAGGAGTCTACCTCAAGATAGTGGTGTACAAAAACCACGTCAATAGATACAACCTCTACAACCAGGTGACATTATTGGTTTGAAGTTCGAATTATTTAGTGAGCACATATAACTAGCAAGCATCAGTCATAAGATACTCACAGGGATCGAGCTCACGGGCCTTAAGGCCCCTCGAGGAGACGTCCCATAAGGTAGACTTTACAGAATAAGTTGAGGAGAAAGAAAAGGCAGGAATTAGATCACTTGGTCAAATATCAGGTGAAGGAGTTCAAAATAATCGGTGACAAAATTACGCTTGGTGTTTTGTAAATATGAGTTCAATTGAGATTTTGACATATCTTTAAAGTTTTCTGGAAAAAGACTATTAGCCGAAAAAAAATGGTAAAACTTTAGCACTTTAACGCTAACCGATTGTAATAAGCAGTTAGATCTAACAGATCTTGATCGTAACATTCTCAAGCTATGGTGTTTGTCTACAGTTATTTAGTTGATTAAAATCCAAAAACTTTAATGGCGATTTACCAAGTATTTGATAAATAACTTCTTTAAAACAGTATCTAGAAACAAGTCAAAAACGGTATCAATATTATGATTATGATTATTATTATGATTCAAACATCACCTCGCATTAAGTTTTTTCAAGTGTCCTTAAACAAAGCGAAGTCAAATATTTAGGTCTTGTGTATTTTTGTGATGATGTCTTAAAAGTTGTTCAATTAAATTTAAAAGTTTGATAATTTGCCGCAAAAAAAGTACGTTTCCTTTTTGTTAAGTTTAAATTGTTAGTTCTATTTTTCCTGGAAAACACATTTTGATACAATCAAAATCAAAAAATTATAATTGAGTTTTTGCAAACAATTGATTGTACTACCAATGTGTTTTATGTGCATGTGTTTTTATTTAGAGTAATGAACGCAGTGAAGACTTTTATATTGGTCTTGGTGGTTGTTATTAATTTTTTTTTCAGGAAAAAGTCTTGAAATGCTCTAATAACTACAGATGTGCTTTCATACATATTAATGAAACTGTTAATGCACTTTTTGACTACAAATGAAATTCATCTGCTGAAAGTTACGTAAATAGCACTCTCCAACTACGAACGTGGAAATGGCGCGAAAAAACGTGAACGATTTCTAGTTTCGAAAGTGGAATTTAATTTTAAGATTTTCAGCGCAATAAAACATTTACCTATTGATCTAGTTTTCTCAAATTGGGTTAGTTTTATCAAAAAAGCGCCAACCATTAATTGTTCTGGAAATTCGAAAGGTCTTAAAGGGCATCTATTTTTTTCTATGAAATTCGAAAGTTGACATTTTTGCAGTAAAGTCATTGTTGTTTTTCCTGTTACTTCCGTTCATTACTCTTTTCCGACTGTTAGTTAGCTATGTTTGTTACGACTTTCGAAGAAAATGAAGGAATATGTGGTCGGGTGGTTTCTTTCTCCAGGCAAATATCGGCCTTTTAACTATCCATTTTAGACTGATTTTTTTTATAATTCGAAAATATTTTCGAATGCATGGTTTCTGATTATAGCTTCAAATTCAGTCAACCATGCGACAAATTTATTGAAGATGTAAAACACTTGCTTGAGAGGGGAAAAGACCTTGGTTCGAATCCGATCGTGACCTGTTTTTGCAAGCTTGATTTTATGTGCTTTTTCGGCCTATCGTGCATCTGCCTATTTTGTCGGCTTCATGCCCGTAGCCCACTTTTTTTCCAAGTTTTAGCTTTCTTTACCCTTGCAATAAGCAAGGGTATTGCAATTGGGTTCTTAAAATTTTTTTCCGTAAACGACTTTGTCCACAGGACTCATCTGGACTCATGGTACCTTGGTTCATGTTGAATTCAAAGTTCTTTGTGTCTCCTGCACACTTGGCCTGGAGGTAACGAATTTGTCTGGGAAGCCAAAGATCTCGGGTTTGAATCTGAATAAGACGTGTTATTTAACGGTAAATATTCCGGCTCAAAAAAATTTCGGCGTATTATTTGTCTGTTTGTTTTCTCGGCTTAGTTGCCAGATCTAACAATGTTTTTTTTTGCTGTAAACATTTTTCTCTGTAGCTGCTTGAAGTTTTTCAGCATTTTAAAAATCAGGCCAAATTGAATTATGTTTTTTATGCTGGTATTCATTTTTAATACTGGTGTTCAAAATCCCGACGAATCGAAATTTGCTTCAACTCGATTTTTCAATTTTTTTAAAATTTTTTTTTTTATCGGGTTAATAACTTTCGGCTTTATTTATATCGACCTAGTGGCCTCTTATTGTGTCGTTCAGAGATCGAAAATAGTTCGCGTGGTTGGGCTCTGAGGGGACGTGGGATATAAAGTTTTTTAAATTAGTTTAAACTGTTTTGAATTTTTTTTTCGGCATGAAAGGTTTCTGCTCAGGTTTTTTTGGCTTCGTTACCGCAAAGTAATTATAATTTCAAATTCAACAAACCATCAGGCTAATCTGGCGTAGAGGTGACACAACTGCTTGAGACAACTTTTTTTTCTATACAAAAACGATATTATGAGTTTTATTTTTCAATTGTTTCCGTTTGATTTTAATCAAATATGTATCGCAAGTGGTGATAAGCTCAGCTTCGCCTCTTTGTCCAAGTGGCTCAAACACCCATGCATGAGACGAAAGCACAGGAGTTCTTTTCCTGTTAGGAACTCTTTCTTTGCAAATTGAAAACTTTGTCTATTTAAGGTTTTTCTGTCTGCTTATTTTTGCTGTTAGTTCCCACAGAGAGTTTTTTGAAATTTCGATTTCGTTCTAGCATACGGAAAGCTCTTTACGCTAGCGTTAGCAAGCGTTATCAAACTGGAATGTAGACTTTTTTTGGGTTAACAACTTTTTTTACCCGAAATCTCTTGTATTTTGATTCAAAATGAATTCAAACTTCTATGCGTTCCCGGCCAATTTAGCCTGGAGGTATCGAATATGCCTGGGACTGCAAGGTCCTGAGTTCGAATCAGACCAGGACCTGTTTTTTTTTCAAACAGGAAAGATTCTGTTTCAAATAAAATTTGGCCCATTGTTTTATTTTTCGTTTTTTCGAAAACTACCCCTCTTATCTGATTTTTTGGTTTCAATGAATTGAATGGTTTTGGAAAAGCTCCATGTGTGATGAGGGCTACGCCCAATTTGTAGCCCTCAGAATAGTCAAATTTTTGTTGTTTTGACCGTTTTGTAACTTTTTGGATATTCTCGAAAATACCCGGCCATATCTGAGATTTTGGGTTCAATTCAAAGAACGTGTTGTTGGAAGCTCATTTGCTTATGCTACTACGCTCAAATTTTTCTGACATCAAAAGTTATGCAACTCATAAAAGTCATAATTTGGATTTTTTGACCGTCCAAATCTGAGGGTTTGCGTTCAGAAATATCAGGTTGAGTGAATCCCTTCTGAATAAGCGGCTACGCCCAACTTTTCACACAAAAAGCTATGATTCTCGGAATATCAAATTTTTGATTCGTTGACAGTTTTTTAAACTGCTCTCGCCTACTATCCTGCCAAATCTTATATCATAGGTTTAATCGAAACAACAGGTTTTTGAAAGCCTACCTTTATAACTGGCTATGCCCAGTTTGTTTAAGAAAAATGTACGGCCTTCAAACAAGCCTAAGTTCTGAAACTTCATGACTTACGCGAAAATTATTATGCCATTTCTCAGGTTGTATTCAATCGATAAATCCGGTTGTGGGAATCTTCTCTGCTGCCTTCTCTTTGCAGGAAAATATCTTTGGTTTTGGAAATCGTTTTGACCGTTTTTTTAGACACTTTTTGAATTTTCTTAAAATTTACGCAATCAAATCTGAGATGAAAAGTTCAAGTGAAAGAACCGGTTACGATAATGGTTCCTGCATTTTTTTAAGAGAACTGTTATATCCTTCGGAAAATTGATTATCTCAAAATTTTTTACTCTTACTTTTTTTTTTAGTAAAGAAACTCCCTGGGCAATTTCTTTTTTGGTCAAATTCCAATTTTTGAAATCACATTTTTCGTGCCGCAGGTAATTACCTGCACCATTTTAATGGTGCAGGTAATTTTTTCCGGATATTTTGGGCTATTTTGCAATCTTTTTGCCAACGATTTTTTGAAGTTTTCAATTTTTTTTTCATTTCAATCATAGTCATTCATTTTTGAATCGCAAAAATACTATATGCCATAATTTTTATGTTACTGGGAGCGAAATATATCATTTTGTTTTTAATGTGTCGGGTGGGGGATGCTTTTTAAGAAAAGTCTCAAATTTTTTTTAAACTTTCATTTTTTAAGCGAGTCAAAAAGGCAGTCGGAACATTCAGGGCTTCGCCCTGATACGAGCAGTTTTTTTGGTTTTAGGAATGTGGCTTTATTGGTTGCTGGTGTTTAGAATATAGCAAGAGCAATGTAAAATTTTTGACTCTAAATCTGTAGGGTGTAGTTTGATTTCCTCAGGACAGATTCTTAGCTCAATCACTTAACTTTGAAATTTCCTGAGACTGAGAGCTCCTTTTTGACGTTATTTTTGCTTTTGAAATACAGGTTTGCGTCTGTATCAAAAATTTGTCAATCATAAAATATTCTTAGATTTCAAAGAGCCAGAAGGCTATTTTTGTTACAATTCGAACTCAGAATGAGAAATACTAATGGAAACGTAATTTGATACTTCTTGAGTTCATTGACGCCTTTCCAACTGTCTGTTGGCTATTTCTATGTCTTTCAAATTTGCATAGAATGAGTTGAACAAACCACGAAATTCAGTTCTATCATTATTTTGAAGAAATGATTTTGACGCAACTATAGTTTTCCATGTCGGAAAAAAGTCGCTTTACCGCGTAGTTCTTGACTGAGTTGAATTGTAACTAATGAATACTTAGTTCTTCTTTTGTGTTCATTTATCAGATAGCTTGAGAAATTTTTGATTGAAATGATGGCGCGGGAAGAGTCAGAACAGTTTTTTATGCTGATTTTCATCAAGTTGAATATGTCTGCTTGTATTTCAGGTGGGTTTGGTCGCCATCAACGTCATTGGTGACTACGTGCCCAAGAAGAAAGCAGGCGATCCAAACAACCCTGTAAGTACCAGTGACCTTGCATCTGATTTTGATTTAGCCACTAGTCAGAAATAGAACCGAAGCTTGAATAATTGGTTTAAAGAAAACCTAAAATCGCGCTAGAAAACAACCACCCAACGCCATAGTAAGTTCCAACCCTTAGACTGCTCAGAACAAAAAGAAATTTTTTAATGGAGTATTCTTACCCCAGTGCTTTTCAAAATTTACATAAAAAATGCGTATGATGTGATATCCTGCTAGGCGACGCAGGCTATCATAGACAGCTACATTCCTGGCTTCTCCTTCGACACCAGCAAGCAGGGGTTCAATCCCCGTGAGGACCCCCTCACTCTCGGAGCCATCAACAACAGGTCCACCCCTAACCACCTATCCCTCACCATTTCCTTGCTATTCCAATCTGTATTCTATTCTATTCCGTGTGACTTGCTTTTGTGTGCAGAAAGCTAATCAAAATCTGTCAATTCCACCACGTCGTTCTTGTTTTTTTTCTCTGTTCTCAAGTTGTGAGGAAGTTGTGCGAATATAAGGTTTTTTCAGACTCTATTTTTAAGAAAAACCTGCTAAAATAATGAAGTCCACGACAACGAAACTTTCAAACTGATTACTATTCTCATACCTACTGTGATGTGAATGAATTTGAGTCGTGTGTTTGGATTGCAGACGTTTAGTTGGAGATATCAGTTTGAAAGGTATCTGGAGCAACAGCCGAACTTGCTGTGAGTTGCAGTTGCATCGTAGGCGCAATAGAAAAACAAGAGCAAAATAGTTAATTCTCAAATTAAATCAACATGCATGGCAGCACATCAGTTCGAGATACTGGATCACCTGTTGATAATGATTAATTTGATCAATCGTAGAGCAATTATGTAAGAGTTGCATCAGACATTACGAATATACTCAGATCAATATATTTTTTATTACGTCGCGTGATCATCGATCATCTATCTTCTGCTCACCTCTTTTCTCTTTAGATCCAGTTTGAATTTCCTTTTTAACATAGCTGAATAGCTTTTTTATTATCATTTGGTTTAAAATACACTAACTCTCCGTTTCTAGGCCCGACTACGTGTCTCCTCTGGATGACCTGGCCTTTGACATGTATCAGGATCCAGAGGTTGCCCGCATTATCCGAAAACTAGACAAGAGAAAGACGCAGGCCATATCCGGTTAGTGAGTCAGTCCTATTGAAAATCCCAGTACGTGAAAGTTATGCGTTCATTATTTACAGAACGTTTTTTAGAAGCTTCATGAGCAAAAATCTGCGCATTTAGAGCTGGAAAAAAATGAAAATTAAGTGTTACTAGGAGGAATATCCACAGCACTAAAGATACCTGTTAAACTCATAGCAGATAGAATCGAGTTCAAAAATGGACTGCATTGTTAAAATTAACTAATTAACCTTTCATTTGGCGGTCTTTAATTATCTAGTCTTTTTTTGCAGAGGAGCGTTTTGACCTGGCGAAGAAGATCAAGCAAGCTATAGTGGATCTTCAGAAGGTGGGAGAGAGACTGGGCAAGTATGAGGTGGAGAAGCGGAGAGCACTGGAGGGGGAGGACTTCGATTTAGCACAGCAAAAGAAGCAGCAGATGGAAGAGTACAGGGCTCACATTCAGCAGCAGCTGGAGTACCACTCCCTACTAGACTATGAATCACAAGGGGTCAGTCTATATCGATGCCTCACAAACTGTATGATACTTTTAACAAAGAGGAGGGAGTTCTGGAGCAGAATTATTTGGGCACGTTTTGTGGCTCACAGTTGTGGGAAACTTTTTTTGTCGATTCTCGTTTAAATTCAGTTTAATTGCAAAGCAGTCATATGTTACAGAAAGAGATAAAAATACTTCTGTAAATTTTGATCATTTTCAACTCGTCTAAAATCCTAAATCGTGGAATTTTTTTTTAAAAAACTTTAGAAAACACGTCAGAGTCAGCCGCTTCCGCCTGCAAAACTGAGGACTCCTACGCCTCCCCTCAGACCGCAACTGAAACCACTCAGTCCCCCACCTGTGCCGGCAGCTGCCAAAGCTCAGACTCCTCCGATGCCCTCTCCCATTCCAAGTCCAGTTCCATCGCCCAGTCCTGAACCAGTTCCAACTGCACGCGCTCCTGAAGTTCACGATGAAAGACCCCTGCCGGGTAAAAAATTTCCTATTCAAAACTTTATTAAATATCAATATCATAGAGTTATAGTTCTTTGAACATTATAGTCTTAAGCAGTATATTTTTTTCACTGAATACCTTTAAAATTATTTAATTTGCATTGTCGCTAAAAAGCAGCATATCATCATTTACATTTTAGCATCCTGTTTTAGTTTTCGATTAGCTTGTTTTTGGGCTGATTTCTCTAAAAAGAGACTCAAATTACACTGTAGACTATTTTATATTCCAGTACGCAGGTCGCCGAGTCCTCCTCTGATACCAGAAGACGTGGGTGGTATCCTGGACGAAAGTGAAGGAAGTGGGGATCAGGAGCCGGAACCTCTGAGCGAGAAGCACGTCAGGGAGGCACAGGCCGTCATAGATGTCTTCGGCCTCAAAATGGTATGTTAGAGAACGAACAATTGAAAGACGGTCAATCACTCTCATAGGTAATTGGTAACAGATATGTCTGCAAGCCAGCGATATGAATTAAATCGATTATAGAGTTATCTCCTCTGTCACATATAGTCTTCTGTCACATCGTGTAATGTATTCCATTAAGCTTTAAAAAGTTTTAAAATTTTATTTAGCCTTGAAGCTTAAAAGGCTGGTATATAAAGGTGCATGGTATGAACCCTGGTGCGGTATTGTTTAGGTGACAGGTGCGTACAGCAAACAATGGTCGTACAGAGAGGACGCACTGCTTGCAGTGTACAAGATTCTAGAGGAGACGCCCACTTGGGAGTCAGAGCAGCGCTCAGGTGTGGGCGAGGAAGAGGGTAGGATTCAGAGGAGCAACATGTTGAAAAACGCCATCTTTCTCTGTAGAAGAGCAATTCTGGATAAAGTGATGGCAGTGTTCAATGCGTCCCTGAAGCTCCTAAAGATGATTTTAGTCGAGTACATTCCCAAACACTCTATAGACAGGTGAGAGTTAGATCTCAACTAGCAGATATCTGTTGTATAAGTCCGTAATTCTGTAGTGGTTTAAATTGTCCTATAATCCACATCAGCCATTCACTGCAAAGTGTAATACTAAATTGGAACTTATCGCAAGAATTGCTCTTAACCTTTGTGAAATTTAGGGCTGACACTATCTATGCGGTGGAGAAGACACTACCTAACTTAGTGAGCAGGACAGGTGAGACAAGTCAGCGACAGCGAGTAGCAGCCAAGGACTTCATCAATGACATGGCACTGATGAGGGAAGTGAAGCCACTGCAGATAGTGCCCCACTACTGCTCCCTGCCCATAGAGAAGAGTGTACCGACTAGACTGGCCGTCAGTAGGTAAGTCAAAATAAACTATAATTCCTATCCACAGGAAGATTCAATAGCACAGAGGTTCAAGAATGAGTTCACAATCAATTGTTGAAAACGTTTTCATTAGGCTAACTTGGTTGTATACGTGATGGTTTTTTTTCAATGTTCGTCAACTTTTGTTTCAATTATATGGCGTGTTGTGCGTTTAAGGTGCGAAGTAGTAGAAAAGTTGGTCAGAGATCTTGGTATGACTCGAAGTGGATTCAATGTGGACAACGTCATGAATGTAAGACATTGTTTTGATGTTTTTGAAAACTAACTGATTCATACAGAAAATTTAAAACTATGCCTACAAGTTTTTGCTAACTGGATGCCAAAAGTGGATGTTTTTGCCTTATTTTTAACTTCTTGTCTGTTTTGTTCTTAGTTCTGTGCGGCTGCCCTTGAGCACAACGCAAAAGAGGTGAGGGAAGTGGCTACTAGAATAATTCTGGATGTGTACCAGTTTAAGGGAGACCCAGTGCGCTCCTTTCTACCTCCGGACAATGACAACACTCGCAAGAATGTGCTATACAAACAGATATTTGAGGGGTTCGATCGCATAGATGCAACAGGCGGCGGAGGAGGAGCAGGAACTGCGCGTTCTCAACCTGGACCCAATAGCAAGGTAACTAGTCTCACAGCAGCATTCGCCGTTTCTTATGGCAAAAATAGTGGTAATGCAGGGGCGATATTGATCTTATTAAGTTACCGAAGTCTTGATTAGGTTTGGTTTTGTTTCAGCCCAATACAGGTAGAAGTGCCAAACAGCCAGCTGAGAAACCGTATGCCGACCAGCTAGGTATAGCAAGATAGTTCCGTTTCATTGTTCTTTGTTCTCCAGGCTAACTGTTATCGGTTTAGCTTAGTTGATTGTTGTTTCCAGCAGCGGTGTTGACCATGCTTTCAATTAATGATTGATTGTGTTGTATTTAGAAGTAGTGAGTACTTCGAAGAGTGTGCGGAGTAAAGCTACCCCGAGTGAAGCGGCAGACGACATGTCAGTAGTACTGGACAAGTGAGTATCAATTTTTTCACTGATGCTTACACTTGCGATCAGCTTTGTGTATTATTACGAACCTTCTTTTTTTTCTAACCTAACTCGCAAATAAAATTGTTCATCAAAAGTTTTCAATTTTTTGGAAATTTCACTGTAACATTGGAAATCGCATTGCATTTGCTGTACTTCATTTGTGGCTAGTGTTTGGTGCCTATAAGGCTGAGTGGTTAGTGTGTGAGACTCTTAATCTCTTGGTCTCTAATCTCACAGGTTGCCGATTTTTTTTTACTACTTCGAGGCTTATTTCTAGTTTTAATTATTGCACTTTATAGAGCTGCTTTTTGTCGTGGTCTCGCAAGTGTTAGCGAAGCGAAGCTTTGACTCTGTTTTGAGAATTGCAATTGCAAACAGGTTTATCCATTCACGGTGTCTGCTGGAATTGCTAGTTCAAAATTGCTAATTTATCATAAAGAAGTTGGATTGATATACTCGCTTTCTAAACGAAATTATTTATTGAGAGTAATGAACTTAGTGAGTAATCTTATATAGGTCGCGATTATTTTGTTTCGTTTTTTTTAAGGAAAAGTCTAGTTCTTATTAGTTATTAGATTCTTTTTTTCATCATAAGCAAAAAAAAATTTTTTAAAAACATAATTGAGGAGGCTTTGTGAAATAATACCTAAATTGCGACATTTGGTACCGAACATTTTTTCTTTTGAAGTATCAATCAAATTATCAAGCTTTCTTTGAAAATGAAATCTTAACCATACATGAGCTTACTATTGTTTTGTTTCTATTTAGCTCATCAAACGCAACCAAAGGTTTTCTGAATTGTTTTCGATGCGCAAACATATTCTTTTCTATCATAAACAAGCCAACAATTCTTTAATGTATATATGTTTCCCGTTCATGCCAAATCGACAGGTGCTCTTTGGTTTTGAAATACAAGTTGCACTAATTAGGTTTATCAAATTGGAATCTCTTAAAATCAATTCCAAATTGATAAGCCTTATTAGTTTAATTTTGTATTTCAAAACCAAAGTTGTAAGAGTCGATTAACCTAGTGCAGACTCCTAAATAGGTCGTGATGATTTTTTTTCAAAAGGTTCAAAATGCTCTAATAACAAAAGAAGTGCATTCAAACTTATTAATGCACATATGAATACCCTGAAGTATATATCTACTTTTTTTAGTTCAACTAAAGTTCTTTTTGCTATAAGGTAGGCAAATTGCTTTGCAGTTATGAAAGCTGAAATGTTTTTGTTGTTAGATTTTCCAGTACTCTCAAATTGTGTTAATTTTATTTTAAAAAAGCGCCAATCATGAATGGCTCTTGAAATTCAAAGTGTTTTAAGGCTATATCATTTTGTTTGAAATTCGTAAGTTTTTTTTTGTGTTTCTTTGCGTTCATTGACTCTTTTCCAACTGTCTGTTTTTTTCAGGAAAAAGTCTTGTTCACGCTCATTTTTGATTTTTTGTGCTTGGACTTTTGATTTTCTACAAGGAAGGCAAACACCACTTTTGAACAGCAAAAATGTAAAGGTCACGAAAAATGTGATCGACGTGACGTGTCGAAAATGGAACTTGATTGTCAGATTTCCCTGCGAAATAAAATTTTTACCTATTGATTCAGTTTTCTCAAATGGGGTTAATTTTATCAAAAAGCACCAATTATAAATTGTGCTGAATTTGAAAGAGCTTTAAGGGCATATGTTTTTCTTTAAAATTTGAAAGCTGAAGTTTTTTCGAAAAGAAAGTCCGTTTTTTCTTTCCTGGATATATTTGGATTTCCCGGCGGAATAAAAAAACTTATCCTTTTAATTCAATTTTCTCAAATTGGGTTAGTTTCATGAAAAATATTCCATTATAAATACTCTTGAAGTTCATCAACAATTTAAATTGATAATTTTTGCTTGTAACTTGAAAGTTGGTCTCATTGACTTTTTTAGGTCCTTCGAATTCATTGGAACTTTTCTAAATGTAATATATGATTTTTAAGAGTATTGAATGTAGTGAGTACTCTTATATATATAGGTCTTGCTGTTTTTTGTTTTAGGAAAAAGTCTTAGAATTTGTTCACGCTCAATTTTGGTTTTTCATGGTTTGACTTGCGATTTCTTTTTAAATACAGTGTATTTCTATTGTTAAAAGAAAGGTAAACTCGTGATCGACTTCTAATTTGGAAAATGGAAATTGATTATCAGATTTCCCAGCGAAATAAAAGTATTACATATTGATCCAGTTTTCTCAAATTGGGTTAATTTTAACATAAAATTGTCCATGATAAATTGTTCTGCAAATTCAAAGAGCTTCGAGGTCATCTATTTTTTTCTTCGGAATTCAAAGTTGAAGATTTTTGAAAAAACAAATCGGATTTTTTTTCAGTTTTCTTGCGTTCAGTACTTTTTTCCAACTGTCAGTTGGCTGTTTATTATATATCTTAAGGGCGTATGTATGTACAGGTAATGAAAGTTCATTGCACCGTATTTTTTATCTTTGCAAAAAGTCAATTTATTTGGCATGAGATTCTGGAGTCTCTAGCGGCTAAATGAGATTTTCTGCCTGAAATTTCTTGAAAGTGTTTGAAATACTCTTGAAACTCATCTTGGCATAGCCCATTGGTTGTGTTAATGTTGATACTCTTTGGAGTTGACCTCGAAGTATGATCAAGGGATAGTTTGGACCAGTGGTTATTTGATTGATTTGCTGTAGCATGTGCATCTTCTGTGGGGAGAGAAATGAAGCGTTCAATGAAGAGGGTCTGGACCTGCACTACTGGAAGGAGTGTGGGATGTTGAGGCGCTGTCAGAACTGCAAGCAAGTTGTTGAGATTGCGCACCTCACCGCTCACCTGGTCACAGAATGTGAGGCTAAAGACTCGTTCTCCAAATGTCCGAGATGTACTGAGGCTATTCCAAACGCAGACTACGACTTGCACGTCAAATCTAAAACCTGCAATGGTAAGTCAGCTGTTCTTGCTCACTAGTCCGCTGTAGGCATTTGAAAAACATCCTAACACCACCTATCTGCACTGTAATTGATATAGTGAGGAAGTGCACTTATCTTGAGTTTGGTCTTCTAAACGGTCGTCAATTCGGTTAGCTGAGTTAACTGAAGAGTTCGATTTTCGTTTGCTCAAAAATCTAAAAAGTAGTTTTGAAGAAAGATCTTGATACAGTTGATCATACTAGTCTTGGAAAAGTTAGCTCGGCATTTGGCATTTAGTTCCAAGTACATAGTTGGTTCGAAATTTAATGCTCAGAAAGAAGTGTAATGCTCAGAAAATGTAATCTCTGATTGGCTACCAGTAAATTGAAGGGTTCCACAAGAGCCCTTTTTAAGCACCTTGTTTCTTTAGTCTGTAGACAAATGACACGCATCGTGCTGCAATATATTCTAATGTTTTTCTTTTTGATGATATCAATGAGTATATGTGTACTGTTCATTTTGTATATTATAATGTTTCATCCGCTTTATTGGTTGGTGGTATTTGAAAATCAGCTATGGCATATGGCGCATTGCCAAACCAGTAGGCGGCATACTTTTTCTATTTTTCAAAACCTCTTTTTTCATATTAATATTTTTAAAGAGTAATGAACGTGATGAAGACTCTTATATAGGTCTTGGTGATTTTTCCCAGTAAACTCTAAAATGCTCTAATAACTACAGATGTGCATTCACACATATTAATGCGTTTAAGAATTCAATTAGGTATATATGCACTTTTTGAGTTCAATTGAAATTCATCTACTGAAAGTCACATAAATAGCGCTTTCCAAATACGAAAGTGGAAATGGTGCAAAAAAACGTGAACAATTTCTAGTTTCGAAAGTGGAATTTAATTTAAAGATTTCCAGCTGAATAAAAACTTTGTTATTGATACAGGTTTCTCAAGTTGGGTTAATGTTAACAAAAGGCGCCAATCATAAATTTTTCTAGAAAGTCAAAGAGCTTAAAGTGCGTCTTTTTTTCTTTGAAATTCGAAAGTTAAGATTTATTTCAACAGTCGTTTTTTTTTTCTGTTTACTTGTGTTCATTACTCTTTTCCAACTGTCAGTTGACTATATTTTGGAATTTCTAAGCTCCCTTTTGCCATTTTTATATTTCGCTTTTTTGTCAATACTTTTTATTTTTTGAAGTATATACTTGTATTTTTGGCTCTAGAGCTTTTCCCCGTTTTTTCTTGTTTTAGCGGAGTGTAACTTCATCTGTGCTAATTTTTAGATGTGTACTGTTCATTTTGTGTATTATTATGTTTCATCTGCTTTATTAGTTGGTGGTATTTAAAAATCAGCTAGGGCATATGGCGTATTGCCAAAGCAGTAGGCGGCATATCTTTTCTATTTTTCAAAACCTCTTTTTTCATTTTAATATTTTTAAAGAGTAATAAACGTGATGAAGACTCTTATATAGGTCTTGGTGATTTTTTCCCCAGTAAACTCTAAAATGCTCTAATAACTACAGATGTGCATTCATACATATTAATGAGTTTATGAATTCAATTAGGTATATATGCACTTTTTGAGTTCAATTGAAATTCATCTGCTGAAAGTCACGTAAATAGCGCTTTCCAAATAGGAAAGTGGAAATGGTACAAAAAAAACGTGAACAATTTCTAGTTTCGAAAGTGGAACTTAATTTAATGATTTCCAGCTGAATTAAAAACTTTATCTATTGATACAGGTTTCTCAAGTTGTTTTAATGTTATCAAAAAGCGCCAATCATAAATTTTTCTACAAAATCAAAGAGCTTAAAGTTTACTCTGTTTACTTGTGTTCATTACTCTTTTCCAACTGTAAGTTGGCTATACTTAGGAATTTCTAAGCTCCCTTTTGCCATTTTTACGTTTCGCTTTTTTGTCAATACTTGTTATTAAGTATATACCTGTCTTTTTGGCTCTAGAGCTTTTCCCCGTTTTTTCTTGTATTAGCGGAGTGTAACTTCATCTGTGCTAATTTTGAGATTGGCTCAGATCAAATAAGTTGTCATTAAGCTTGCGATTAGCAATCGTTATCAAATCTGAACACAACTTTTTTCTGACAATTTGTTAGAGTCGAGAAACACAGCGAAGACTTTTATATAGGTCGTGATGTGTTTTTTTTGTTCTTTAGGAAGTTTGATTTTTCGCGGTTTGACTTTGATTTCTTTTAAATTCAGTTCATTTTCTCTGTTAAAATGAAGGCAAACTCCACTATCGTACAGCAAAAGTGTAAAGGTTACGAAAAACGTGATCGATTTCCCAGCGGTATTTCCTTGCGTACATTGAATGTTTCCAGCTGTTTGTTTGTTGGTTGGAATCATTTGATAGCTTGATTTCATATAAATTCAAATTTTTTTAGCTTCTCAGGCGCATGTGTTCTAAAGATACGCCGCCTGGGTTAGAAAAAGTACTAGGTTCGAATCTGGGCAAAACCAGGTTTTTAAACGGTAAATTTTCCGTTTCAAGAAAAATATTGGCCTTTAGTTTACCTGCGTATGTTTGGTCGACTTAGTAGCCCCCTTACAGATTTTTTTTACTCGAAGCAATTTTTATTCATATGGAAGGTGTTTTTAATTTTTTTTCTGTAAGTTGTAATTTCCCTGAATCTAATTTTTTGTGATTTGTTTGCCTTTATCATTTCTATTTATATTTCATGGGCTTCGTGACCTAATTTTGCGATTAGGTCCGAGGTTCAAATTTTTATATACGTTTTTACACAAGTAAAGCTTGTGTTATAGTATGAACTATTTATTAACCTAAGTCGCAAATATTGTTGCGACGCAAATTTTGTTGAGACCAAATGTGTTCATTTTGATCGCTAACCAGCTATTAAGTACAGTCAATGCTAAGGATATTAACACAGACTATTATATTACAAATAGCACTTTAGCTTCCTGGTATATTGGATCTGTAGCGTAGAGGTAAGGAAGGAGAACCGCAACAAAATAGGAGGTTTCGAACCTGGGCAGGGTCGGATGTTTTAAATGGACTTTTTTTGTAACTAGTTGAAATGCGTCCGCTCTATAAATTGAGGCATGTTACTTAGTAAATTTCTTTTTTTTTTTCAAATTGATTGCTACTGCGTCATATTTGGCTTGCGTCACTTAGTAATTATGTAGACTCATAATTGGCGTGCGTCAATTAATAAATTTTGTAGACTCAAAGTTTTACTCATTCAGTTTTTTCCAGTAGCGATATCGGTCATACTTTTGCTTGTGTATGCGAAGTGCAACTTCGCCTCTGTGTTATATACGTTTTAAAGTAGAAAGTGGAATATAAGGGTGTAACAGCCGAAGTAAATTCAGTTACTGAAACCATAATTTTGTTGCTAATTTACACCTGCGTTGTGTTTTGCAGCAGCCAAACCGGATAAGCAGGCCAACCACTGTCCCCTGTGCCACATTAACTTCGCCCCTGGAGAGGAGGGCTGGAAGATGCACCTGATGGGCAAAGAAGGATGCAAGGAGAACCCTCGCAGAATACCCGCTCTCAACAGAGGTAGGGTAGCTTTTTCAACGCACATGACTGTTGGGCTTAGTAAAGGTAACTTCTGATGGCTGTAACTCCTGATGGCTATTTTAAGGTTGATCCGAGGTGATTGATAAGGTATGACTGCAAGCTTTCGAAAAGTTGGCTTGAAAGTAGTAAGGGAAAAAACGGCAAGGAAGACATGTAACATTATCAGTGCATTATGCATTGATGTTTTTTGCTATTAGATTTTAACTTAAGAAATAGTTAAATAGTGTTTTTTTTGCAGCCAAAAATTCGTCTTCTCCCAAAAAGGGCGCGACACAGAGTGGCCCAGGGGCGCGAGGGCTCAATGCAGGTGGTGCCGGAAGTGTATCTAGTAGACAGCTCGCACCTCCCTCTCAGAGGTCTCCGCGGAAGACGACTCCGCGCAAATAGTACTCGCTCATAACTGTACAGTCTCGCCTTCAATGCCACATATCACCACATGAGAAGCAACAGACTGAACTATTCTTTTAATATATTGTGATCAAATTAGTAGATTGGGTTGCCTGACGAAATACCCCCTGTGAAAATTTATACCATCTATTTTGACTAGAATAGGTTTGGAAATTGGCAAAATGGATGAATGAACACTCGTTTGATTCCAATCCACAAATGTCAGCTTTAATAAAAAATTACACTAAAACTACAAAAATTACTGATTGGCAATGATCGGATTCGATGTTTGTTAACAATGTCCATTACGATAGTTTTTTCTTGGAATATTTTGTCATGGCAACAATAGATGTGTTACGTTTCAATTAACTAAAATGGTTTATCAGAGACTTAACATGATCCGAAAATAGAACTGTTGTGAATGTCAGTTTGCAAATTATCCGTCGGTAGCTTTTTGAGTTCAGTTTATTTTTATGAAGTGTCAATGAACGTAGAAGGGACAAGTATAAAGTGCGTGTTTTGCCATTAGCTTGCAAACGTAGTGTATTAGTGCGAACCTTCTCTTTTTTTCTAACCCAACTCGCAAATAAAAGTTTTCATTAAAAGTGTTCACTTATCTGGTGGCATTTTTGCTATAATCATGATCTGTAGCATCAGAAGTTTTTGCTATAATCATGATCTGTAGCGTGAGACGTAAAATCTCTAGTTCGCAGATCGAATCCGAGACGTAGCCGAAATTTTACTAATTCGAGGCCTATTTCTACTTTTTGTTATCGATATATCTATTTATTATCTATTATATATTTAAATGCGGGCTTGACTATCTCGCATGCTTAAACTTTTTCAACGTATTATTTTTGCGTGTTAAACGAAATAATGTTTTCACTCTTAAGCTATTGTATATTGCAATGCTTAAGAAGTTTTCTTAAGAGTAGTGAACGTAGTGAAGACTTGTATAGGTCTTGGTGATTTTTTTGAGGAATGCTATTAACTACAGATTTGCATTCATACATATTCATGCATTTATGAATGCACGTAGATATATATGCTTTTTTTGAGTTCAAATGAATTTTGTCTGCTTAACTACGTGATTAGAATTCTCTAGATTGTTCACTTCTAGTGAACAATAGAAATTGTTCACTAAATGTGAAAAGTTTCTAGTTTCGAAAATGGAATTTAAATTTAAGATTTCCGGCGGAATAAAATTTTTACACATTGATTCAGGTTTCAAGTTAGTTATTAATGTTATCACAAAAGCGCCAATCATAAATTGTTTTAGAATTTCAAAGAGCTTAAACGTCATCTATTTTTTTCTTGAAATTTTTTTAACAAAGTCAGTGTTTTTTTTTTGTTTAACCTGCGTTCCTTTCTCTGTTCCAACTATGTAGGATATGTTTTTGATTTTCAAGTGTTTTGTAAGGTTTGAAACTAGCAACTCAATAGTAGGATGATGTCAGGGTTTCCCCAAGCGTGGCGAATTGGGCATCCAATCAATCTATTATGTATTTAAATGCAGGCTTCACTATCTTGCCATGTTTAAGCTTTTTCAATGTATTCTTTCTGCACATTAAACGAAAGAATTTTTTCATCTTTAAGCTATCGTGTATTGCAATGTTTTTTTTCGATTTTCCAGCTTCAATTCGTTTAATTCACCAAATTTGAAATTAGCAACTTAATAGTAGGATGCCGTCAGTGTTTCCCCAGGGGTGGCGAAGTGTGCATCCAAGTATGAGTACCCATTTTTTTAGTTTACGAGATACGAAGATTCTTGGTTCTTTTTTGAAAATGTTCTGAAAGCTTAAATTAAAAAAGTTCACAAAGTGCTGCCATGGTACTCTCATGGGTTGCAAAGTTTCCTCCAAAATTGACTGCTCAATTTTTTTCAGTTAACAAGATAAGACGATTTTCAGAAAAAAATAAATTGTAAAATTTTACAAACTTTTGAAATTCCCAAAACTTATAGTCAAGTAGTGTCGAGGTACTCTCTAGGGTTGTAGATCTTGCCTCTAAAGGTTATTGCTCAAATATGTTTTAACAAAAAAAAACATTAATTTAAAAAAAATTTAACAACATGAAATTCTCATTCCTATGGATAGGTATTGTCGGATAACTTTCAAGGGTTCCATATTTGGCCTCGAAATATAACTGCTTAAAGCCTTTTGGTCTCTGAAAAAAAGTTTTTTTAATGATTATTCAATTTGCTCTCAAAGATCTTAGATTTGAAAACAAAACATTTACAAATCATAAAGTTCTCTACCCTATGGTGGATGTCTTCTGGGTGCTCCAAGGTGCTGCAAATCCCGTCTATACTGAGAACTTGTCAAATGTTTTTTAATTTTCGAGATATGACGATTTTTTATGATTTATTAGAAATTAAGATTTAAAAAAGTTCAGAAAAGTTCTAAACTCACAAACTTTCTAGTCAAGGTGCTGTCGAGGTACTACCAGGTGTTGCAGATCTTGGCTTCAAGGGTGACAGCTCAAATGTTTTCGGTGCCCAGGATATGACGTTTTATATGATTTTTCAAACCAGATAACCAAATTTTCTTACAATTGGACTTTCACAGCCCGTTAGCTAGGTACTGCCAGGGTAGTCTTAGGTTTTGCAAATCTTGCCTCCAGCTGTGATTGCTAGCTTTTAAGTTTTCGAAGTCTGATGTTTTTTCAATATTTTTCAAACAAACCTTGAATTTAAAAAAGTTCTCAACCTTATGTTTTCTCAGGGTGGTACACACAGAGATTGCAGAACTTTCCTCCAAGGATGTTTTTTCCATTAATCTTCTTCCTGATTTTTGTTGTTTCTTATATTTTTTCAAAAATGTTCAAAAACTTAGATCTAATTAAACTTCACAAAATGAAGTACTCAACACTATGGAGAGCGATTATCTCAAGTTATTTTCAGGATGTTTGTTATACGGCAATTATAACTCATGAACACCTTTTACTTTCTTAGATGTGAAGTTCTTACCTTTTTAGACATTTTTCCAAAGTGTTTTTCAAATGCTCTTTAAAATTTAATATTTCCTCTTAGGTGGAGTGATGTCACGTTTTTTGCAGCGGATGCGGCCTCTCATCCCATTTTATTGCCCAATTTTGTTATGTTTTCGTTATTGACGTTTTTTTTTTATTTCAAAAATGTTTATCGAATTTAAAATTATATTTTAAAAAAGTCCGATATTTCAATATAACTTATGAATCCAATTTTTGAATTTGACGATATCAAAAATGAAGCCAATTCATTAGTTTTTTAAACATGGAAAGTGCGTTTGTATGCACTTGGCCATTTTAGGGTTTTGAGTTATAAAAAAAAAAACGAAGATCCGAAACCCATTAGTTTTGGAGTTTTGACCATTTCAGTTTCAAAAACCTCCAAATTAAAATTTATTTATCATTGAGTTTGTGGAATCAAAACTTTATTGAATTGACTCGTCTATTGCGACGTTTGGATCTTTTTCGTTGTTGTTCGCATATATTTTATAGATAAAGAATTTTCACGTTCAATATCTGTTTGTAGCACCGGAGGTGCACTACGCTGTACTTGCACTTTATAGAACTACTTTTTGTTCGTGTGTTCGCTAGTTTCTGCAAAGCGCAGCTTCGCGCGAGCTTTATGAGTCATATGCGTACCTAATTTTGTACTACTTAGATTCGTCTGAAAAATATGAATTATGTTGCTGGTTTCACGATAACTTTTTTTTGCAGATTTCCCAGCAAAAACAAATAAACTATTGATCCATTTTCCTCATATTGCGTTAGGTTTATTGCTAAAGTGTCAATCCTAAATTATTCTACAAATTCAAGGAGCTTTAAGACCATTGTTTTTTCTTCAAAACTCTAAAATTTAAATCTTTTCAAAAAAAAACAAGTCAGTTTTTTTCCTGTTTACTTGCGTTCAGTGACTCTTTCACAACTGTCTGTTGACTATAAGCATAATCAGGATTCATCCAAAAATTAGTTAGCAAAGTGTGTGTGAGCTTTAAATTTAAAAAGAAGAGCTTTCAATTCAATAGTTATAATGTTCACAATATCGACTGGAACACAAAAAAAATATTCATTGCTCCTTTTTACGCTTGCGATTAGAAAGCGTTATCAAATCGGAATGTAGACTTTATCAAATCGGAATGTAGACTTTGTTCAGGTTAACAACTTTTTAACAAAGTCAGTTGAATCAATTGCCTTATGCTGCTGAGATGCTCAAATTTATGAAATTTTAAATAAAACTACTTCATCTAGGTAGTAAATAGGTGCAGTTCGTTTTGGTAAATAATTATTCATTCTATTATTTTTCTTGAAAAAGTTTCATTTTTTTTTCGGATTCATGGTTTTGGGCCTAGTTTCTGTCGGCTCAATTTCCGTTTTTTTAAATGGCATTTTTTGGTACTTATTTTCATCCGCTTGCTTTGTAAACTATGGAATTTATTTGAGTTTAAGTTTTTCTTACTATGATTGAAAATTCGGAAATTTGTCATTTTACCAAATTTGATTTCAAATAATTTTCATTTCTTAAAAACTTTTTTTCAATTAAACTTTTTTGGCTGAAATGGTATCAAATTAGTCAATTTATATTGCTTAGTTTCGATGCCTAGTCTCTGTTCGACAAAATCAAATTTTTTGAAAAGGTATGGAAGTGGGGTTTTTTAAGACGCTATCAATTTTTTTTTCATTTTTTGCCAATTTCTTAGATGAATAGAAACCACTCTTTCGATTTTCAAAGGTATGAATAAAAAAATCCTGCTAATCTGTAAGCCTGCATAATCTTCTAATCTCTGTTTACTTTTTCCAACAGTCTGCTGCCAAAAAGTCGGCGAGGGAGCATTTGACTCAAAATTAATCTCCCAAGTAATCTGCCCTGAATAATCGACTATGCTCAATTTTTTTAACACAAAAGTTATGACCCTCAAAAAAGTTAATATTGGGTTTTTGTACCTTTTTTCAACTATTTGACTTTTCTCGAAATCTCCTTTCCCATATCTTGAGTTCTTGCCTTCAATCAAAGCAACAGGTTGTGTGATTTTCTTCTGCATAAGCGGTGTTTCCCTAATAGTTTTTAAGCACAAAAGATATGGCCCTCGAAAAAGCTAATACTTGGTATTTGTACCGTTTTTTTGAATGTTTTTTTTTCTCGAAAACTAACCGGCCGGTTAGTTCTTAGGTTAAGTGTTCAGTCAAGAAACCTGATTGTGGAAATGTTCTCTACTTGCAAAAAATGTTAATGGATTTCGAAATGTCAAGTTTTTGAAAGTTTGGTCGTTTGCAGTTTTTTGGCTTTTCTTAGAAACTACCCTTTAAAATCTGAGATGCAGGGTACAATCGAAGGAACCGCTTGCGATAATTTTCATACAGAAGTGGCGACTCCTCAATTTTTTGTTAAAAAAAATGTGATATCTCGGGGAAGATTTTTGAAATTATCCATTTTGATTCGCTACAATAAACAACAATATCAAAAGCCACTTCTAGCTTTAGTTGAGCCCCTAGTAATCTTTCC